GTAGATTGCTAGTAACAGTAGCAAAACACAAATGTTCAGAACTGCGCAAGTCCAAGCGAAACACATAAAATATTATTATCATTCATCCGGGGTCTAACTCAGTGTAATTAAATGAAGTAAATGCATTGTGGAGAGTGGGAGAAATACGAAGCGTGCCGCGGCGGAACAATCACGCACCTGTTCTAAGAGGTGATCGACCGGGATCGATCAACGGCTCCGGATTCCCGGAATGTTTCGCGCGAATTTTTCCGCATTTATTCAGAAGTCTTCAAAATGTATCCCCAGTGGAGACGAGCCCCCGGTGGGGATGTGGAGATATGCGAATTGCATCTATGGGGCACGAAACGTTTTCCAGCAGTACTGTTAGCGTACCTATCGCTTGGTGAGTATTCATGTTTCATTAATTCCTAGCATTGGTATGGTACAGGATAAAGCTGAAAAAATAGAGTTATAGTTGCTCCTTAAATAACATGGGTTTAAACTGCGCGATTCAATTTATTTTCTTCCTATAGATCTTTAAATACGGTTAATTCTTGATTAACCGAGTACTGTTTTAAAAAAAAAAAGATCAGCTTTGTTTATCATAGAACAATGAAATATTACGTTCCCAGATCATCAGCATAAAACTAAAGTGACCACGGAAAACACAAAAAAGGAAACAAAATACGTGACACAACAGCAGCAATAGTAGATCATGTCATAGCATTTTTCAGTTTTTTTATTCATAACAATTTAATTGAACGTAATTAAGAATGTACAAATATTGTAGAATAAAAAAACAATGGTCTATTTGACTTTTTTACCCGAGTTTGAATTTGATAAAGCTGTTAAAATTCCTTTGTAAATATTGTTCTCTTAATGCTATTGAAAGTTTAATTTCTTCATGCCCAAGTGATACTTGTTCTTCCATTATTTACAGTGTGTTCTTTTTTGTTTTAAATATTTATGCTAGGAAATTATTTTATTCTCCACATTAAATTGCTTGGAAGAGTTTGTAAATTGTTAAAAATACTTTTCTACTGATTATTAGCCCCAAAAAGAAATAACACGAACGGACTATTAGTCTCAAAACGGGATTTTGCATCGTTCACTTTAAACGGCGAATCACTTTCCAAATTGGTTCCACTAAATATTATCGCTTTGTACTGTTTTTAAACAATTTAAATTTAAAATTGTGAAGAATCTCCATGCATATACGTATGTTCATCGCATTGTGAAAAAACGACGGTACTTAGAGCCATCAAATTTTGAATAACACAGTCTTCCATCCGAACATGCGCATCTGGAATTTTGAATTTCCAATTTTATTTTTCAACGAACGAAGTTTTGATTTAAAAACGTAACGATCTGAAAGCGAGCAACACTGTACGGAATAAAACACTTTTACCTCCAGCGCGCGAGACTGTCTACCGGGAATTCTAAAGATATGCCTTTTTTAAATATTTTGTGATTTTGCTGTTGACTGAAATTTTATGTGGCCTAAGCGTAGAGAACGTGATATTTAACAAATAAAGTAAACATACAAAACATTAATAATAATAATAATAATAATAAATAATAATCTAAAGTTAATTTTCAATTAACGTTCAAGCGGGTTTTTTTAACATTTTGTCTGTATCCTTTATTATTAAAAATGACCTTCTTCGCACTTAACCATAAATTCGTTTCAAGAGCAATCCAAAATAATTTAATTAAGCATATCGTTGAATTCCGATACGCAGTCCACTCTTCTGGAGATTTTTTTTTTTTTTTTTTTTTTTTTTTTTTTTTTTACTACGGCCGCCGGGCTCCTTTAAGACTTGAGTTTATTAATGAAAAATTTGTTAAGATTTACAAATATGATCTCGATAATAAAACAAATTTCAAATTGGGCTTCACATGCAATATTCGCAGTAGGATAACGCCATCCAATTGATGGCTCTGTCTACCGCTGTGTACCGTTGTGTCGTTTAGTTAATCTGCATACAATAATTGTAGAATTAGCAACAATTAAAAGTTTATAAGTGTTACTAAAATCTAACGAAGCCGCCATTTGTTTACATTTGAAACTCTTAGTAGAATAGTGAATTAAGTCAGTTTGCGCACCAACTACAGAGTCTTTTTGCAGAGTGGGACCAAATGTAAACTTTCAGTTTACATTTGAGATACGCATTTCAAACGTAATACTATCGAGCCATTTTTTGAAACGAATTTTCACTAGTGACGAAAAATGGTTCCGCTGCTATAACATTAATCGAAATATGTCATGCTGCAAGCATGATGAGCCAGCACAAATTATATCGAAAGCTAAATTGCGCCAGGAAAAGATCATGCGGTCAATTTGGTGAAGTTACAAAGGTGCTGTGTATTTCAAACTGTGTCTAAGAAACCAAACGATCAGCTCCGATATTTACTGCCAACAATATATGAAACCGAAGGAAGCACTCAAAGAGAAAAGGACAGAATTTAGAAAAGGAATGAAATCGCAAAGGAATCGTACCACCACGACCAGAGCGAGACCTCGCTTCAAATTCTTTAGCAACGTGCAAAATTATTGGAGCTTGGTTGGGAAGTATGTCGCATCCCGCATACAGCCCCGATCTTGCATAATCGTATTGTCATTTATTTTGAAGTTTACAAAACTTCTTAAACGGTGAAAATTTCATTAATAACGATAACTCATGGACCTTATAAGAAATAGACTAACCCAAACGGGTTTTCTCCCTCCTCTGAGGCGTTGCCGGCTGTCACCTTGACCACACCCGGAGGAGTAGGGACGACTTGCAGAAATTTAACATTGGTTGCCTATTGCAGCGTGTGTAATTGTCAAGAAAAAAAGAAAAAGCTGGCTGTAGCGGCCTCATTCACCAATTAGATTTCGACATAGTTTTTATTTTTGAATTGAGATTGATTTTTAAATGTAGCATATTTATCAGCATAATTAAGTTCCAATAATTATAAGCTATGCATGCTTTCTTCAGGGCTGGGTATTTTTTTAGCTGTTCCTATGCTGTCAGGAAATTTTTAACTACTTCTTTTAGACAATAATATTTTAAATCTGAACTAATAGAAAATTTCAAACAGTCAATTTTCTTTTCTGTGCACTTTTTTTGTTTTTTTCTTGGATGTAAATAAATAAAAAATACTAAAATATTTAAAACCGAATTTTTGAAAGTTGTGTTTAAAATTCTAAATTGTGCTGCTTTTTTAAAATTATAGATGAGTATTATAGCACAATTTCTATGAATGAATTTTATTTCAATCATATTTCATAATACATCATAATGATATTCACGTTCTTCGCATTTAAACCATAAAATTCAGTTCAAGAGTAATAACGCGAAATTATTTTAAATTGAGCATATCTTTAGAAATTTCGATACACAGTCTCAACGCGCTGGAGATAAAAATGCTTTTTCTGTACAACGTTGTTGCTATTACTCGCTTTGAAATCCTTGAGTTTGTTAACCAGAAATTTGTTAAAGTTTTACAAAATATGAAATTGATAATAAACAAATTACAAATTTCAAATTTGAACTTCCGCAGGCCCATATTCGCAGTAGGATTACGTCATTGAAAATTGGATGGCTCTAGGTACCGTTGCTTTATCACAATGCGAGAAACATACATACATTGATGCCGCTTCTTCATTATTTAATTTTTTCAAATATAATACAGGGCGATAATATTTAGTGGAAACAGTCTGAAAAGTTATACAACCTTTTAAAGATTTCAACGCAAAATGCGAAAACGAAAACAATAGTCCCTCAGGAAGAAAGCCCATTTGGGCTAATAAACACCGACAGCATGTGGCAAAAACAGTTGAACGAAGAGAAAACGGGGCGTATCACCTATAAAAATTCTATTATATAACAATAACATTTCTTTTCACACGATCAGCACGAAATACGACAAATTTGGCGAACTTTTGGCGACGAATAATTTGTAAACAAATCATCAGAAATAGCAAGTCATCACCAAGCATATCATAAAATATTATCCACTGTGAAATTTCCCCGGTTCATAAATTTAATGAACATATAAACATTTTAAAAATCGCTTAGACAGTTATTATACTACAACAAAAATCGCGAATAATATATACGGGCTTTTTCAATATTTTCTTCAATGAAATCGGCTTCCATTTTCACCGTTCAGATCTCACCGTTGCAGCAGTAGCCATCGCCATATGGAAAATTATCCGTGATCCTTCGAAGCAGAACTCCGTCTATTGGTTGATCTCTGCCGGGAACGCAGCTCTGCGAACGAACCTTAGCGTGACAAACACCCGTCTCTTGTCTAGGAGAAACATTTTCTAGAACCTCCCGCTGAAACCAGTGCTATTAGAATCTCGTTTCTCGAAAATGTCCCGCCTAGCCGCGCGCGTCGCTAGATATGATAGCCGCTTTACTATTATCTCCTAATTAAGACACAATAACACGCCGAATAAATACTAATTCAGAAGACAAACACCAAAAATCAGCGTTATATTTACAAAATTTCCACAGGACTAGTTTCGATGGTTTTACCGAACCACCATCCTCAGCTGCAAAACCGCAAAGGTATTAGTATTAGTATTATACCCTAGTCACGTCAGCCCTAAAATCAGAAAGCTTCAAGCTGAGCCAACCTCTGAAAATAATCAAAAACCCGGTACAAGCTAGTACCTTTGCTGAGCCATTATTTGTACTGTTAGGCAAGAACTTGGTGCTTTAACGGATATTTTCTACTAGTCTCGGCAGCCCTAAAATCAGAAAGTTCCACACTGACCCAATTGCACAGTGAACACTTTCCTACACCAGCCTATCTACATAGGTTCGGCCTTAGGGATTGAATGCACCTTAACATAGGACATGCATCTCTGAAACTAATCTTCACACCTGCAGAGCACGACTAGTGGTAAGTGAAAAAGGTCTAACGACAACGTTGAAGGTAACTGCATATATGTACAGCACATTGCTCCTTATACAAAACTGTCTACTGTTAAGCACATTGCTCGGTGTCACATGACGTTTAATCTGAAAGAATATATTTTCTTCACCTGTCTAAACCGTTATTTTGTAAATAGAATGTAAATATTTCTGTGAATTATTATTTTGATACTTGTATATATATATTCTGTAAAAAATCCTATAATATCTGGTACAGTATGTGATTATATGAAACTGACATCAGTAACACTATAATTTATGCAATGCACCTTTTAAGCGTATGATACGCACTGGGGGGAAACGGTGTAGCAACAGGGTGCCTGGGTCAAGGACCCTACCCCTTGTAGAACGATATTTGTTCGAACTGTCATAGTAACTATATAATATATATATATATATAATATATATATATATATAACATTAACAGCAAGGTATATATATATAATTAAAATCATGTTGTTACATTTTTAAA